AAAAGATGAAAAGTCTGGGATCAGTGTGGTCTACAAGTCCTCCATTTGTCCACATCCCAAACAGGTGGCTCATAGCCCAAGAACTTTGCCATCTAAAGTAGGACAGTCTAACTTCAAAGCAGTCAGGGGCCACATGCCTGCGTAGGCCACCCTAGCAGTGGTCACACACTGCAGGGGCAACACTAGAGGGGATCATGCGTGTACAGGTGCCCCCACCTCTATTATGCACAAGGGGGCGCTCCCCTACCCTGCTGCACCATGTGGGGGTGGGTGAGGAGGCACTCCCCTGTGCTGTGTTGGCCCCTGTCTCCCATTCAGCTCCCTGCAGGCTCTCGTGGTGCTGCACTGCACTGGCATGCTGGGCTGCCGGCTTCCCTAGAAGCACAGGCTGTGCTGCACCACGTATACCCACCTTTTGGCAAAGGGTAAAGCAGCAGAACTTGTGGGGAGAGGGGGATCCCCACGACCCTGGGTGCTGCTGCAGCCAGAGCAATAGGGGCAACAGTGGCTAGGTGGGAGTCTGGGTGCTACATCTTAATGCTTTGCAGGCTGCATGCAGCCTAAGAGCTACCAGTTGGACACTTCTGATCTAGTGTCTCCTTGGAGGCTGAGGCAGTTTTGTTCCATACTGCCATCCACAGCAGCAGCATCATGAACTAAACACAAGATAGACTGAGGTCTTCAACAGAGCCCCCTTGCCCAGGGTAGACAAGGCATGTGGCCTCAAGATCAGATCTCTCTTCTAGATAAGAGTACTTCTGAGACTTAAGTGGTTACAGAGGCTACAGCCCACTTCCACACCTGGAAGTTTGACAGTGAGGCTGCTCCGAGTTTAAACCCAGTTCAAATCCAGCAGCTGCTCTCAGGTCTGCCTCAGGCTAAGGGCTTGAGAGTAGATGCCAGGGGGAACCCTGAGCATAGTGCCTGTGGACATGGGCTAGTGGGGTGCTGGTTAGCTTCATCTGTTCCAGGACCTGTTGCTGCCATGCTAGACGATGTCGTATCTGGCCCCTTGCTTGTCCCCTTCCTGATCTTCCTCAGCTCCCAAGGGCAACAGAAAAGTCTTTGAAATTATTTGAAAAGAAAGTGTATGTTATCATGGCTATGGATTTAGACTACAGGCAACCTCCACTTAACGCCGTTTCACTTAGTGCTATTTTGCTATAACGCTCATTTTAAATTGATACCTGATTTCACTTAGCACTCAGCGAGTTTTGTTATAGCGCTCACGGCCGCCATCTTGGGTCATTATAAACAATTGCGGTTGCTATCTTGGGTTGTCAAATGCTTTCAGTTTCACTTAATGCTCTTTTCTCTTAACACTCAGTTTTTCAGGAACCAATTAAGAGCGCTAAGCGGGGTTGCCTGTACTTTGGCCATGTGGTGTAGGTGTAGTTCAAGTACAAGAGGAAAAGCTTATTGCCACATCAAGAACTTTTCATGAAGTGTGGTACTGAATCCTTCCCCAGTGCCTCAGGGAGGTTAAGTGCAGAACAGACTGAAATTAAGGCTGTCTGGTTCACAAGTAGCTTGGATGGTTTGCAGCATCATTTGGAGGGAAGCCCTATATTTTGAAATTTCCCCCAAACTGGAGATCTCAAAAAGAAACAACAGCAGTGCTTGGTGTTTCCAAATGCAGTAATCTTCCCTGGACCCAACAGCCACTGAAACCTGTGGCTCCAGGACAGCAATACAATTCTGACTGGCCTGGAACTGGAAATAGTCTTCCAGGCTCCCAGATCAGCGGGCTGTCTGGGCTCCCCAGGGTAGCAGACACTCAGTTGGCCTGGAAAACTAGCAGCCCAGGGGAGACCTGAGCTCTGAACTCTCCTCTTGAGATGGATGCCCAGGGGTCATAGACCCTGGGAGCCCTAGCCCCAGTTGGGATTCTCAGGGCTTCCAGGGTCCCTCATACAGACCTATAAACCCTGAGTGCTCAGGGTTTTCAACCTTCCTGCTGCATAGCAGTGAATCAAGCCCCAGTTAGACCCATGCCTCAGGATTTTCCAGCAGCCTGGAAGCACTGTCATAGGAGTGAGTGCCTTAGAGCTGTAGTTTCTGAAAGCACCTGGACCCTAACCCTGGGACAGTCTGCACAGCTGGCTGCACCTGACTCTGGAAGCCCTGGGGGCCACAGGTAGGAGAACTCTGCATGGTGGGGCAACACCAAGCTGTGGACACTTGAAGCATGCATCCTCAGAAGCTTGGACCAATCCTGTGTGTATTTCATCAAATGACCAACATTTTGTGAAACATTTCATGTGTAATAAATGATCAGTTTCCAACAATCAGCTCAAGTTAAAAAACATACAAACATATTTTAAAGTCTTTTAGCAGAAGAAACACTTGCTTTACTTGAGCTCCTTCCAAAGAGGGGCAACAGAAGCAGCAGGAAGTCTGATACCCCCATCTTCAGAAATGCAGGGACTCCTGGTAGCTGAGGTAGGGGAAACTGGAGCTTTTATAGACAGTATGTGAGCTTTACCCTGTGGGTTTTTTTGTTGGGGGGTTGGTTTGTTTTTTGAATGTCAGATGTCAGCAGCCTTGGAGGTTGAGGGCGCTCCCCAAACCACAGGGTAAAGCTCGCATACTGGCCAGCTACACCTTCCCTCTGTAAACCCTGGAACTGGTAAATGTAAATTTAGGGGTGTTATTTTCTTTGCTTTGCCTGCATTGCTCTTATCTGCTATCACTGTGTATCAATAACATTTGCCTACAGTGAGGATGTGATGAGGGCGCTTAGCAGGAAGCTTTAGCAACAGTTGAGTCTCTAGTTATTCTGTTGCCCTGTGGTGGTGAAGATTGTCCAGAGGAGTTGGCTTCCTATTAACCAGGCATAGTGAGTGAGAACCTGTGTAGAGTCCAGCCCATATCAAGGCAACTGAATAGTAAATTTTAGGGATCTTGCTGCTCTGACCATGGATGCTGCAAAGGCATCTCATAGGCTGGCTGCCCTCCCTGACCTAGTAGCAATGGGGCAGTCAGAGTTTGCACTCCAGCTGCTGTCAGCACTGGTCTAAGCCTTGATGCAGTCTAGGAGTTGACCAAGTTTGGGATAAAAAACAAAACTTGACCACCATCTATTTCCTTCCAAATAGGAATGGCGGGTCATTGCCTCAGTGTGAGAGTGTGTACTTCTCCTGCTGTCTTTCATGTACAGACATCAGAATTCTACTGCATAATAGTACAATGCACCTCCTGATAGCCCAGAGTGCTGTGGATAGTCCATTCCACAGCTGTGGCACCAAAGCTTTGAGAATTGTCATGATGTATCCTGCCCAAGTTACCCAGCAAAGCAGACGTAAAACTAGGGATAGAGTCCAAGCAACCTGATTCTCAGTCTCTGCTCTGATCATTAGAAAACACTTCGCATCTCACTCCTGAGTCCCATGGAAGATTCATCTTTTCCTCCAATGTGGATTTCAAAAACAGTTTAGCAGTGAGTGCAGGAAAAACAGTACAGGGAAGTCTAACGCCTTCACCTCCAGTAGTGTAACTGAGAGGAGGTAGCCGAGGAAGCAGCCCTGGGTGTCACTTTTGTAGACAGGTGCAAACATAGCTGCTACAGCTAACCATGCTGCTGCAATAAATACTGCATTGCATGCAGCATTGACCTGGCAGAGAAGCATGAATGTTGGGAGCTGAAAAGATACCGATCCCCAGAGCATAGAACCAGCTCCCAGGACTAAACTGCAGCCCCACATCACTCTGGGAAACAGGAGTACCGGGGACCTGCAGGGGGAAGCATTAGGTTCTAGTTGCAGCATTTCCAACCTGCCCTGGGTTGGCTTGCAAGGAAAAGTAACAGGGACTTAAGCTGCGGGACAAATGACAAGTATTGCAGAAAGAACTGAAGAGAACTGCCTTATCCCCTTCCGGTAGCTCCTGCTGATGCAGGGAGAAGTCATCAGAAGCCCTGTCAAAGCCGCCGTCTTCTGTTCTTACCACTGTGGAGCATCCAGCCACTAGAATAACATTTGTAGCATCCTTAATCAGAGGAAAAGTTCACTGGGGAGCCCTTTTACAGGACTATTGGGAGCAGGAAGATCTGAATGCTCTTCCTGGAGGCAACCACATGGGCACTGTGATGGCTCCTGTGAAGGAGACCATCAGGTAGTCCATTCTTTGCACTGAACCTGTGCTCTCATATGTGGCTAAACCATCTCTTCCAGATAGATATCCAGCCTATAAGTGAAGACACCAAGAGATGGACAATCCATTATTTTCCTTGGGGGTTTGTTCTCATGGTGGAACAGGTCCCAAGTCCTCCCAAATCAAACAGCCCATTGGGCTGCTGTGATTAAGACATGACAGTTTCTACATTCAATGGCACACAAGAGAACAATGTTCCTCGTGTCACATCCATTCACTTGAAGGGTCAGGTACCCATTGGTAATAGTGATGTATGAGAGTGTCCTTCAGCACAAGTCCTCTGGAGTTGTACCAAGACACCTTAGCTGCTTGGCCATCCACCCCAGTAATAGTGAATCTCCCACACAATTAAAAGTTTGTGCTTAATTTTTAACTTGAATTTATGTGGCTTCAGGTTCCAGCCATTGGTTGTAATTCTGCCTTTCTTCGCTAGACCAAAGAGCCCCTGAGCACTTGGTATTCTGCCCCATGAAAATATTTATACTCTGTGGGTGTGTCTACACATGTCTTAAAGTGCTTTTCCTAATGCGCATTGAATTTAGCACCTTCAGTGTGAGGTATTAAACAAATGCACATTAGGCTGCCTTAATGCACAGTAACAAACGTCCATGGTTTTTAAGTGATATTTAATGCACAGTAGCCTATTTTATTGCATACTAGCTTCATAGCATGTTTTCTTACGTGACACTTTAATGAGCAGTAAAATAGGCTGCTGCACATTAAAGCACACATGTAGATCCACTCTGTGATCTTGTTACTGTTGGATCTTTTGTTTGATATGCTAAACAGGTACACTCTCTTAGTCTCTTGGTGTGAGTA